TGGCAATCACTCACACTCATGCAAGTATGCTAAAGCACTAAAACTCACCTATTACTCTAAGCTAAGATAAAACAAAAGAGTTAGAAAAATATGCAGGACTCCTACCTATACAATATGGTTAATGCAACACATGCAATAATGCAACTAAATAGGCTCAACAACTTAACACACTATTTGCAATAATTTCATAGCATGCGTTTTAAACACGTATTCAACAAGGTATTGAACGACAATGCAAGTTTGAATGATGAACCGAGTCTCGGTGCATGCAAGACAAATGAATGAATGCAAACATGTGATATGCTAATTGAAATGTGATGCCCCTAATCTAACCACCAAAAGCGGATAAATAAAAGGGAGAAAGACGTAGGGTTGGAAAACATACACATTATTAAATTATGCTCTCACGAAGGAGAGTCCGAATGAATAAATTAGCTAAGCTAAACTACTTAACTAATTATTACAAAACTTAAATAAATAAATTAACTAACTTCTAAGCTAATTAAATATTACAACACAAACTAATTTAATTAATCAATCTAAACTAATTAAATAAGTACAAAACAAACTAATTAGCTACAACTAATTAATTATAACAAATAAATGATTAATTGTTAATTAAACTAATTAACTAGTCTCGGGAAGTGAGGGAGGCCTATGCGTGCTTAGTTTTCGCCCGAAGAACGTCCATTGTTTGCTCCCGAAAGCTTCTGTTGCACAACTCTTGCACTTTTTTCCTACTAGATCAACTCTACTATGCTTCGCAAACACACTGCTCAAAATTCACTTGTGGCCGACAGGCCAGAAGTGGTGGCCGACCGGTCACCAGCAGGGGGTTGTCGTCCAACAATGATGGCTTGCTGGCCAAAAATAGTGGCCGGTCGGCCACTGATGATGCACCACTTCTTGCTACAACAGAGAGTAAACAGAGCAAAAAGAGGGTATTCTCACAGGTTGTTTGTACTGTGTATGCCTCCTTATCATCCAAACAAGCTCAAATGAGTGATACACTTGATTCAAAAACCATCAATCAAGCAATTTCATTGCATGATGGCTAAAGAACCAATGTGTACAAGTTTAATAAATGTGGAAACAAGACTCACAACCTTCACCCTAGGAAACTTGGCATATTTTATCACTTTGAGTATGAAATGCCCCAATTTTCCTTGTGTTCAATTAAAGTCCAATTGAACACATCAAAACACAATCAAATTCTTATCTTTGCACACTTTTAGTTTCCGTTTTTGTTTACCCATTTAACTTACCAACCATTCTTTAACCAATTAAGTCCATTGATGAGTAAGTCCTCTAAAAGAGAAGGAAGTGTCAAACAAGGGGTAGTGTAAGGCAAGAGAGAAGTATCATACCGTTGATAATGAACCCTCAAAAGAGGATTAAACCATTAAGCATGGCCCTCAATTTCAAGCTTAAACAATCCCAAGGTTGAAACAACCCTCAAAGCAAACAAAGAGTAAAGAAATGAGGGACGTTGCAGAGATTATGTTTGCTGAAAATAAGTGAGAAAAATACTAAAACAATGCAATCAACTCAAACAAATGGTGTCTAAAGGCCTAAAACACCAAGCTTGTGAGGACACTTATACTACAAGCATGCAATACAAGACTCAAATGACTTAATCAACCCAAAACAGAGTTAAAACAATCTAAAATAGAGCCTAAAATATGGTGGAATTAAGCTATAAATGGCTAGAAAAATAAGCTATCATATAAAGCTATCTAGGCTAGCAAACAAGACACAAGGAGGGGAGGCTAACCCCTCCAAATTTGGAACTCAAAACATGATTTTTACCACTGAAAATACTCTAAAAATCAATGTTCAAAAGCCCAAAAAAAAAGTTTGAAAGTGGGAAACAAAGGTGGAAAGGCATTACAAACAAGGAATAAAGAAGGGTGAGCCACCCCCTAACCTTAAATGGCCCATAACCACAAATTTTAGCCCACAAAAATAGAGTTTTTTTATGGTACAAAACAGCCCAAAATCAGTGGGAAAAAGATATAAAAAGAAGTATGCAAAACAAATTAAAAAGGCAAGTATTATACCTCTTAAAGCAAGGATCAACTTTAGGCAACAATTCAAGCCAGAACTACCTTCAAGAGCTCCAAGAAAGCTTCAAGGAATCTCAGCTCAAAGATGAACAACTTTGGTTAAGGAGGTGTAAGCAAAAGTGTAGTGTTTGTAGGCTAATGTGCACAAATTTGCAAGAGAGAGAGAGAAAAAAAAATGTAAAGAGAGAGAGAGATAATTTTTGCTCCAAAAATTTCAACACTCAAAAATGGGGGAGGAGACTCCTTATATGTAGAAAAATATGCATTTGGCTGAGATATATCCCTCCATACATGTGTAGGGAGATGCAGCCAATTGTGGTAACAACTAGAATAGCTATCAACAAAATATCTGAAAAAAAAAGACATTGATGCCCGACAAAATATCTGAAAAAAAAGACACTGATGCCCGGCAGGCCACTAAAGTGGCCAGTTGGCCACCAATGATGGTTGGCAAGCCACACCATTGGCCGACAAGGCACAAGGGTGGCTAGCAGGGCACAATTGGTGGCCGACAGTCCACCAGAAGAGGCTTGCAGGTCCTAGGGTCTTGGGGTTTGAAATACTAAGGTTTTGGTCCACAACAAGGCATAGAATGGACAGGGTTTTAAGGCTTAAAGATAGGACATTATGCCGAGAACTTTGGACACTAAAACGAGCACATGCAATCATAATCATCGAGTGCACAAGCAATGACGTCCAAGTCTTGAGGATAGTCAAAAATGAAATGTCTACAAGCACCCTTTTATTTTATGTATATATATATATAATTTATATATCTTAACAATAGAATTTGAGTTATGAGAGAGAGAGAGAGAGAGAGAGAGAGAGAGAGAGAGAGAGAGAGAGATTTGAGATTTGAGAGTGAAAGAGAGAAATAAAACGGTGTGAGGTGGAGAGTGGTATTTTGGTCATTTTGTAAGAGGCTGTCCTTATGGACATAATGTTTGAGAGTGTGGACCTTTAGGCAAAGAAAATTTAAATTTGAATTTATAGATCGAGTATCCTTTTTTTATTAGGCAAATTACACTAACAATCCCTATAATTTGGGATTCGTGTCACTTTGGTCCTTGACTTTTTAATTGTGACACATTTGACCTTGAATTTTGAATATTTTTCCAAATAAGGACAATTAAAGATACCATTGTTCAATTTGAAGAGTAAAGTCGTCAATTTGATAAAATATAAACTAATTTGACAAAAATAAATATCAAAAAAATATTTTTAAATGTTTAAAAATAATTTATACCCACGAAAGATAAAATTATTTAAAATTGATAAATCTTTTAGATTTTTTTTTTACCAAATTAATTTTTATTATGTGATTGGATGATGATCATGTAATGAGTGGTTGTTAAGCTTTTAATATGTAATTTATATATTTAATATATGAGATGTTTTTAGTTTTGAATTCTTTGATTTAATAGATTTGGTTTAATAATAGAAATAATTTTTTAAAATTCAAAATATTTTTTGACATTTATTTTTGTTAAATTAGTTTATATTTTATCAAATTAACAACTTTGCCCTTGAAATTGAACAATGATATCTACAATTGTCCTTTATTTAGAACAAGATTCAAAATTTAAGGCCAAATGTATCACAATTGAAAAGTCATGGATCAAAATGACACAAGACTCAAACTATAGAGACCGTTAGTATAATTTACTTTTTTTTATTATATATATAATTTATATATCTTAACAATAGAATTTGAGTTGTGAGAATCTCTACATAAATTTTAGTCCCAAATTTTAAGACAATTAAGACAAATACCAACTAAATTTAAATAATATTATCTAAATTTTAAATTTTAAAATTAGATTCTAATTGATGGTTCATCTAGGAATTAATTTTTTAAATTTTTATTAAAAGATGTATAAAAAAATTTAATTAATTTTTTGTATTAACTTTTGACTGAAAATATCACCATGGAATTATAAATCCTAAATTGTTTGGTTATAGTTTTCATAAATTATTTTTATATGAATTTTTATTTGTTTTTATTTATTTTGTTTTATAATTTAATTATTTTTTTACTTATTAGATACATCAAGATTAGTTACATCTAAAAATAACAAAAAAAAATTAACCAAAATATAAAAAAAAATACTAAAAAAATGAAAATTCAAATAAAAATGCACACATATTTTTGTTTATTTTTAGTTTTTTTTTATAAATTTTTTAATCAATTTATTTTATTTTTTAAATACGTCTTGATTATTTATATATAAAAAGTACACAAAATTAATTAAAACATTAAAAAAATCACTAAAAATAAAAGAGAACTAATCTAAAAATAATTTTTAAACAATCAAACTAAAAATAAAAGAGAACTAATCTAAAAAATAATTTTTAAACAATCAAACAAAACAGATACTAAAAAAATAGTTAAAAAATTAAAAACTAATTATAAATTATCATATTATTCTGTCTATTTTTTAATATTTTTTATAAAAAATTTAAAAACTAAGGTCAAGTTTGACATGATTAAAAAAAGATAAAAAGTCAAAAAGTTACTATCCTATTTTTATTTAAGTCACATCACCTCTCTAATACATCACTTCAAACCCAACCTAAACCCAACCCATATTTCATAAAAAGTCAAAAAATACACTTATTTAGTCTCCCCAAACTAGGCCTAATTAAAATAATAAATTACCAAACCAACCTAACTCAATTGGTTTATTACAAGGGTTGCTGATATTCATGAACATCGGGCCCACCACCCAAAAAAGAACAAAAGATTTTGGGGGGAAAAGGCCAGCTCGATCAAGGGCCCAGGGTGGTCGTCCCTACGAAAATCAACAAATTCTATGGTTACAATTTGCCGAGACCATACGGACACTCGCCTTACATAATAATCTCCCTCACTTCATCTCTGTCTCTGTCTCTGGCTCTGTCAAATAGCAACATCTCCCTTTTTTCGCGTGCGAGAGAGAGAGAGTGAGTGAGAGAGTGATCGACATAGTTTTATCTGTGAAGCTTGTTCGAGAGCAAAGATGGGTCAGAAATCCAAATCAACAAAGGTTCCCAAAGCGATGGCCACCATGGTAAACTCATTCATTTTATTTCTTATTTTTTATTTTTTATAATATAATAAAAAAAAAACCCCTTTTGCACTTGTTATTTGTTCTTCGCTATTTTGCTTTACCCTTTGCCTGTTTCGATGTTCTTCTTCTTCTTGACACTGTACATTCTTTGTATATGTATTCTGTTCTTTGTACCTCTATTGCTCTATTTGGTTCACAATATGGAATGCAATGGTTTTTCTCATGCTCTTCTATAATCGATCCTTAATAATGATTCATTTTTAATGTACTTTTATTATTATTATTTTTTATATTTATAAATGTTGTGGTAGTTCTGATTATTTTTTAAATCAATAAGTCTTATTTAGTAAAATTTAGAATTATATAAGTTTTTTTTTCAATTTTTAAAATTAAGCACATTGTCAATTTTGTATAGTAATATTTTAAATAATTATCTCGCAAACCGATAAAAAAAAAAGGCCTATTTGAATGTTAAAAGCTCACTATAGGCCTTTTTTTAGATTTTCCTCCTTTCCGAACATCAGCAACATTAACTACACCAACTATTATTATTTTTTATATTTATAAATGTTGTGGTAGTTCTGATTATTTTTTAAATCAATAAGTCTTATTTAGTAAAATTTAGAATTATATAAGTTTTTTTTTCAATTTTTAAAATTAAGCACATTGTCAATTTTGTATAGTAATATTTTAAATAATTATCTCGCAAACCGATGAAAAAAAAAAAGGCAAAAGACCAATAAATCCAAAATTTTAATTTGTTAAACTATTTGGTCTTGCCTTTTATTTTGTAGACTAATAAGTCCTATTTGAATGTTAAAAGCTCACTATAGGCTTTTTTTTAGATTTTTCTCCTTTCCGAGCATCAGCAACATTAACTACACCAACAACACCAACATCATAAAACATCATCAACATTTATCAAACATCAACTACATCATAAAACATCATCAACATCACCAACATCATAAAACATTAATAAACATCAACTATATCATCAACATCATAAAACATCATCAAATATCAACTACAACATCACCAACATTGTGAACATCATCAAACATCAACTACATCTTCAACCTCATCAAACATCATCGACGTCACGAACATCAATGAAGAGGCTGTCAGGCATACTTGTGTTGTTGATCTCTGTAATTTGAAACCCTGGGATTTGCCTGGAAATCTTCAAAATATTTGGGTTTTCTGTTTTTTTGGATTCTTGATTTTCTTTGATCATAAACAAGTCCGAATTTTGTGTGTGCATTTTGGGTATGTGTTTATGTGTATTGATTTACTTCAATTTTCTATGGTAATTACTCATACTTGTATTGAGGTTTCTTCTTTGATTATTGATATACAGTACTTGATCAGAAAGTCCCAATTTTGTGATATGTAAGCAACGTTACATGTTTTTATGATTATTGATGTTTATATAATATAACAAACAAAGATACCATACCAAATATAAAATATAACAAACAAAGATACTATACCAAATATAAAAAGGACTAAATAGTTTAAAAAAAACACTCAGGACTAGATAGAATAATATTTCTCAATATGGGATTTATGAGTAATTTTTCCCAAAAAAAATAGAGCATCAGATTAAACAATTTTGCCTAATATGTTTATTGATTTGATTCAATTATCCAATAAAATTAAGAATATTATTAATTTTTTTCAATTTTAAAACTGAGAGCATTATCAGTTTTTTTATTTTTAAATTTTTTTTTTCTCGGTTTTACACATCAATGTTCCATCATCATGCTCCTTTACCAGTACAAAGGGTGTGTTTGGTTTGTGTTTATAGAGTAGTTTTTAAGATAAAAAGTATGAAAACTTGTTTGGTTTGCCTTTTTCAGAAATGATTTTGAAAAATTGTTTTGGGGAGAAAGTTTTAAAAAAAGTGATTGATTTGATGTGTATGAGAAAGAGAGTGATTTTGAAAAGTAGGTAACCAAACAAAATTTTGCGATTTTTTTTAGAAAAATTTGTTTGGTCTGATTATTCTTGAAAATTTGTTTGTAGAGAATTTTTTCCAAAATTTTTTCTGAAAAACAAACCCTTTAATTTTCAGGTTTGCCCAAAAAAATAATTCAATTTTTTCAATTTATAAAATATATGTATTTTTTTTGCACATTTTTTTTTTAGTTTTTTTAATTTGAAAGTTGATATTTTAAAGTTTTGAAAATCAAAGTAAATGTCAAATCATTATGTTCTTTTATAAATAGCTATAAATGATGAACAATCATTATTTGAATGACAATTCTTACTATTAAAAATTTAATAGAATTTGAAGATACAAAAAATTTTAGTTAAGATAATAGAGTATAAGTTCATAAATTAGGAGTTATATGTAAATGCCTTTATCTTTTTAGTCAAGTAAATATGGGAGGGAATCAATATTTTGATGGAGTGATTGGATCCTACTTCATTAGTGAGTGAACCAAACACTACTCATTTGTTATTTGTTTATATATGTGGGATTGGGGATAGGTGTTGGGTCAAAGATTGAAGAGAATTTTCGAGCGAGCATTTATTTATTTATTTATTTATTGTGAGTAAATTATGCTAGAAAGCCGATGAACTTGCCTTTTTTTTTTTGTTTCCCCTTTCTTTTTATTTCCTTTCTGTTTTTCCTTGCCAAGTTAGAAATTTGTCTAAATTAAATTTTGGTTCTATTAAATCATCACATTATTACACTTTCTTTTCTTTTTTCTTTTTTTTAACTCAGGATTGTACAAATTGTTGTAAACATGGTATGAATTTCTATGTTTCATCCCAACTGTGAACATTTTTTATTCTCTTTTTCCTGAAAGTAGGGGAACAAAAAAGACTGATTGCATTAACAATGTGTTTGAGCATCCAAGACAAACTTTGCTTCAAAAAAATATATTTTGTAAGAAGAAAAAACAACGAAACTATGGAGTTTGATAGCTGACACATCCTTGGCAATATCAACTCTTGTCATAATATCCCTAATTTGTAACACTTTTTTAGAGCATCTATATGGGTATAATTTAAGAGGTGGTCCAATAGTAGTGTTAGTAAAAATTATGTTGGGCTTAGATCGACAACAACTAAGCAATAGTTTTAAACTAACAATTTAAACAGAAAATCAGACGATTGTATAAAGGTTCTAAATGCCTTGAAAATACAAGAATTTCTCTGGAACAATTAATAATCAAAAGAGTGAAGTATCCAAATAAACAAAGACAACTCCAAACGAAATTATCTAAGTTTACAAGAATTACAAGTCACAAATTATAGAGAAAACTACTCCTAAATTAAGATAATCTACTCCTAAGAATTAAGATAGACTGCTCCTAAAAATAAAGAGAGAGAAAAAAATTATGATAAGCTTGATGATTTGTTGATGTTCTTTCTCTCTGCAAATTTTTAGCCTTTATAGTTCTTCCTTGCCACGTCCCCATGATCTTCTCAATCTACAACTGCTGCTGTGTAACTGCTTCTTGACTTCTAGGCTGTCAAACCTCTCCAATCCTTCATTTCTTCCTATCGAATTGCTTCCACTCTAAGTAGCCACACACCTCTCAGTCTTTTGGACCTTCCATCGACAGAAAAAGAAACTCCCACCTTGCACTTTCCTCTTTCTGCAAGTCACCCACTAAGCCCATGACTTAGCCAGTAACTACTCCATCACCGGTATCGTTTAATGCACACATTTATCAATCTCTCTCATATCGCTTACCCTCTTTCACAACTGTTAAACCCTCACTTGATTTTGCCACATGTCGTATCCCGACTGATCCGCCTGTCATAGGAAATTTACAAAAATGGGTGTAAACAATGCCCCCCTAACTCTTTAAGAATGAGAAGTCTTAAATGCTTGAAGAGTTGTATAAAAAAGTAAATTGGCAGCAACCCTTTCAACAAACAAACATCTAAAAAATATATTCTTAGGGCAGAAATCTGGTGATCAAACACCACATTATTAATAATCATATGCCACATAATTAGCAAAATCACAACTCAATCCAAGTGAGTTACATTCAACAGAGCATATTAGAAACATTTAAGGTAAAAGTAAATCTTGCCTTAAATGATATAAAGGACAAAATCTGGACCAATCCATATTTACTAAAATCTATAAACTAGTTTTGGCCATAATCAATAGAAAAAACATGTACTTTTTTTTTCTTTTTTCTGTCGATTCATGCAAAGTATAAGCAATTGGCCATTAGTCCTTAAACTAGCCATCTGTCGATGCGTTGACATTAAACAATTGGCCACTAAATGGGCCTTCATGCAAAGTATAAACCATTGGTCATTGGCCATTATTGGTTGGCCTGGGTTGTTTTATATGGTCATTTTTTATTCCATCAAACTTACAAGAATAAGATATTATTTTTGTTAACCAATTTATCAAAATCAATGTTTGATGTGAACCACAAACCCATGGTGGTCGTTGGGTAACAGAAACCATAATATCAAATAGTTTTAGAAAATCAAAACTTTTGACAAAATTAACAATGTCAAAATTTTCAAATTCAACAAATGTGGATTGTTCATGATTTTCAGCCATGTTTGCCTTAAAATCATGCCCTCCAAGTAAATCTTCACTATTATTTTGTGATAGATTTTCATCATTTTTTGTCAAAAGGGGTTGTTTTTCTTTTTTGGCCATTAATGGCTTGTTACTCTTTGCCATGTTTGGCAAAAAACCATGCCCCCAAAGCGTATTTTCACCACCATTTCGTGATGAATTTTTAACATCTTTTGAGAGAAGGGGCTGTTTTTCTATTTTAGCCACTATTGGCCTATGAAAATTCTCAAAAATCATGACTTGGTGTACTAACCCTTCCGGCCACCTACCTTCACTTTTCATGAATAAATGGCTCCTTAGGAACACGGGTATTAGCCTCCCAAGCCACATCATTTTCATGCCTTAATTTTTTTCTTGGCCACTAAGCCTTCCAAATTATGCTCCCAATATCGAATTTCTTCATCAATTAGGTAAATTTGGCTTTCGAGTTGATGAATTTTTTTATCAAAATAATTTAAATCTCTCTGCATCAAATAATATGGAGATAATGAAATTATCTGAAATCTTTGCTGATAAAAAGAATTAATTTCTCTTCTTATGGCCAAACTTTCACTCCCGCACCAATAAATTTCATCTTTACAATGCCGAATCATTCTTTCTATATCATTTATAATGCCATTATGTTGGCAATAGGTGTTAGAATCATTGCCATAATATTGGCAATCTTTAGACATGGAAGATGAGATATTCCATTGATAATTTATAGCCATGGGAATACTGCCATTCCATTGGCGGTTTGCATCCATGGGTGCAAAAGACATGGACATGCCACTTGAAGGCATGATTCCATAAGCATTAGTTTGCTTCTTCATCGCCATAACTCCAAATTAGATAGGTTTCACCGAGCGTGCCAAAAATTGTTAGTAAAAATTATGTTAGGCTTAGATCGATAGCAACCAAGCAATAGTTTTAAACGAACAATTTAAACAGAAAATCAGACGATTTTATAAAGGTTCTAAATGCCTTGAAAGTACAAGTACTTCTCTGGAACAATTAACAATCGAAAGAGTGAAGTATCCAAATAAACAAAGACAACTCCAAACGAAATTATCTAAGTTTACAAGAATTACAAATTACAAATCACAAATTACAAAGAAAACTACTCCTAAATTAAGATAATCTACTCCTAAGAATTAAGGTAGACTACTCTTAAAGATAAAGAGAGAGAAAAAAAAAAAAAACCATGATGAGCTTGATGATTTGTTGATGTCCTTTCTCTCTGCAAACTTCTAGTCTTTATAGTTCTTCCTTGCCAACGTCCCCATGATCTCCTCAATTTGCAACTGTTGCTATGTAACTGTTGCAACTGTTTCCTGACTTCTAGGCTGTCAAACCTCTCCAATCCTTCATTTTTTCTTTTCAAATTGCTTCCCCTCTAAGTTGCCGCACACCTCTTAGTCTTTTGGACCTTTCATCGACAGCAAAAGAAACTCCCACCTTGCGCTTTCCGCTTTTTGCAAGTCACCCACTAAGCCAGCCAGTAACTGCTCCATCACTAGCACTGTTTAATGCACATTTATCAATCTCTTTCATATCACTTACCCTCTTTCACAACTGTTGAACCCTCACTTGATTTTGTCACATGTCGTATCCCAATTGATCCGCCTGTCGATACGAAATTTACAAAAATGGGTGTAAACTAGTAGTGACGGATTTTTATCCATAAAATTAGGTGTCAGTGGAAGTTTCTTAGTTTTTACTACGTTGTTGTTTCATTCAAACTTCGAGTTGATCTTTAATACCTGATGCCATGAGTTTCCATATTCTTCTCTAAAAAGCTTTCTGTATGAATCATATTGTGTCTCTTTTTCTTTTTTTTCTCTAAAAATATTTTCTTAATTTGGTGTTTCACTAACTACATTATGTTATTCCCAGCCTGAAAACTTGAATCCTTCCATGGAGATAGTTGCACCACAGCTAAAAATGCAAAGCTTATCCTCAAGGAAAAAGGCACGTGCTATCACCAGGCGATCTGAACGCCTTCGTAATTTAGCCCCACCTGCTCAAAACCAGGAAATAGAGTCTATGGTCGTGGAGGAGATAAATCTTTGTGAAAGTGAGAAAGAAGATGAGCCACATGTCGAGGAAAATCCTCCCAACTCGATGCCGGCTCAGCAGAGATTGGAAGAGAAAATTAATTACCTTGTTCAAGCCATAAAAGAACTGAAGTCCAAGGCATCTAATTAATTAGCACTAACATCATTAATTTTCCATCTTGGTTCCTTAGCTTCTAATTTATATTTATTTTATTTGTTATAATTTTATTTTTTGAAAATGCTTAAACAGGCTGCTGAGAGACACTTCCGAGGTGACAGCCCTGCCGTGGATCATAAATACAAAAGCCTATATTTTGATTTGCAGCAGAAGGTTATGTTATGTTTCTTTAGTGCCTTGCAAGCAATGCCTTGTTGTCCATTACAAATCTTGTAATCTTATTTCCTTGTTTCTGAGTTATTGCAGATTGAAGCCTTAACTAAAGAAAATCAAGAGCTTTCTAAGAAGTTGGATGTTGCACTTGGGAAAATTGAAGTGGTATTGTTCAATTTATTCACGTTAATCAGCTCTGTTGTTTTCCGGTCTATAGACAAAGAATAATTTCTCTCTCTCTCTCTCTGAGTTTATCTCTGTAACATGCACAAAGCGTGTCTAGATGTTACACGAGAATACTTATCTTTATCAAGTTGAGAGCAGCATTTCATCAATGGGTTAAAATTCGGCTACAGTGGGTGTATGGATGTTTTCTTCATACAATCATGTGTCTTTTGTGGACATTGACTAGAGAACATTGGTCTCTTATGTACAACTGAATCACACTAATGTCGCATATGCTAAACACAAGTTGAATCCTTTGGCATTGCAATTTTTTAAATGTTTTTCTTTGTGAAGTTGAGAGCATTTTGCGTTATTTTTTTAAATGAATGGTGGTCTCTTATGTCTAACTAAATCATACACCGAGTCTTTCACATACACTGAATGCAAATTGAATCATTTTACAAACTAAATTTTGAAGGCTAGAGCTTGATCTGTATTTCCTTTTCCTTCACTGTAGTATGAGGAAACAAGGCGTGCTAGTTCAGATGTACTGGAAAAATTCAAGGATGTTATCTTGATCTCAAATCTGGCAAAAGCTACTGAAACTGCAATGAATCTATCATCTCAAGCAATACTTGCTGGATTTTCCTCTCCACGTGTAGCTGATGAACCAAACGCTGCTGTTGAACTTCAGGCTTCAGCTAAGAGAAAGAAACAGTCCAAAGGAAATGAAGATAACTGAAATTGTATGGCATATGATAATTGGTAAGAAATGTATGTATGCTAATCTATGTGTGCTTTGTTTCTTGTTAGCATACCTGTTGTGTCTAGTATGGGAATTGCCTATTAGCTTTTTGAAAACTTGCAGGTGAACTTTTCTGTATGAGTTTCGTTCAATATATTATGTTTACCCATAATACATTGCTGATCAAAATATGTTTACCCATATTGCATGTGAAGAAATTGTAGCAGATCTTGTTGCTAATAAAACAGCTAGTATTGAAATAATGATTTCTTTATTATGAAATAAAACAACTCAACCATGATGTTATATTCCTACAAGCAATGAACATCAAACTTTTACAATTGGAGCAAAAATTCAAGCCCAACTTAAACTGAAACAACAAAGAAGTTCAAGACTGTGCTTGATCGATCTTGTAATTTTGATGTTGTTCTTCTCCATCATAGTATTCATCAAGAGAAGTGCACAATCCAAAAACATCCATTTGTGGTGTCTTAGGAACTTCATTGCCATCTCCTTCTTCTGGTATTGGTGGTGGTGGGGAAGAGAAGTCCAAGCACAAGCCCCTTATGTACTCGTATGATGAAGAGAGATCTTGGGAAGTGAGTTGGTGGTACTCCACTAGCTGGTTTAGGCACTGGTTCTCCCTTGTTAAATTTGCATTCTCATTTGCTAATCTGGATTTCTCAGCAAGCAGTGCCTCCAATTGAAGCCTCACCTGCCAAAAATGAAATCACACAAAGCTCATAATTAAATGTTCTTACTATTGTTGGGATATGTAGTTTTCTCTTACATGATATCAAAATACATGTAACTTCTTATATATATGTTATATGCACTTCTCTACTTCCAAACTAGAGAGTTCTGATAAATTATTTTTCTACAACAGGTAATCTAAGTTATTTTGCAAACACAGGTCGATTCATGAAGTCATGTTTTGAAACAAAATTTCAGGTTTTGAAGTCGTGTTTAAAATACAAAGAAAATTTTGTTTTGAATAGACATGAATTTGACCCCAAAAAATTGTGATACTTTTTAAGACATAAAAAACTCTGGATAAATAGAGTCAAGTGATTACCAAATCATCTTCCTCGGGTCTAATCCCTTTGGCAAATCCATCGCGAAGCCTCCGATTCTCCTCCTCAAGAAGAGCACATCGTTCTTGCATAAAACAAAAGTCTGATTTGATCGACTTAAGTTCTCTTGCAAGCGAGGTTGCTTTTGTAGCCATCGAAATCGCAAGCTGCAAAAGATAAACAAATCAAAACCCAATTAACAAAACTAAACAAGTAACACAATTCTCATAATTTATGCCATAACAGAGAGATCAGACACACATTTTTGGCCTTCTTGAAATTCCCCTCTTCATTTGGGCTTTTCTCACTCTCTTTTAAATCATCTCCTTGTTGAGCATCAAACTTTCTCTTCAATACTCTCTTGCCTTCTTCACTCTCTTCTTCTTCTTCTTCTTTGGCCTCTTCAGCTTCTTCTTCTCTGTTTTTGGCCTTTTCCAGTGCACTGTGATATATATCAGTAATTGTGGGTGGTCTGGCCAGATCTCTTGCTCCCTGAAAAAAACAGAGGAATGCATAATTGAGTTCAAAGTCTTAGGATCAAAAGTTTCACCAGAAAAATTAGTCCTTCTACACAATCTGAAACAAAAACAAAACAAAACAAAAAAACTAAAAAACAAAATTTCTCAAATTCTAAGATTTAGAACTTTATTTGCTTACCTGAAGAGCATTGTCCAGATTTTTAGATAGCTGAGACAGAGAACATGCAACAGAGTCGAACCCTCTGAGCAAAAGCAGCGAGTCCTCCCTCATTCTCTTTGCGCGTTCTGGTTCTCCAGAATTCTACAAACAAGTTCCAACAGAACCTATTATTCCATTCTCAAATACGAAAAGAAAATCAAAATTCGAAGAGAAAGAAAGACAAATCTACCATTTGGGTGGAGAAAGAGGGATCAAAAGGCTTGCGATTCTCGAGAATGGTGTCGATTCGGCTGCGGAGAGCGCTCCAGAAGCGCTTATCCGATGAAGGGCTGAACATAGGACACGAACTCATGAGGCTCGTCGTTGATTCCTTTGATCAAAACATGAAGTGAGTGAGTCAATAAAGATATAGGAAGACTTGAATTGAAATCTCTTAGTGATTCCATAATTAAGAGAACTGAGTTTTGACACAAACCTTATTGAGGATATTTTCAGGAGTAGATGATTCCACTGAAACTGCCATTAGAGAGCTTTATTAGTATTTTAGAAAGAGAAAAAGCTTATAGAGAGAGAGAGAGAGAGAGAGAGAGAGAGAGAGGGAAGAGGGAGCAACGGCTAGTTTTGTGGAGCTTTGGAGATTAGGGATTTAAATAGCTGTCTCCCAACGTTCCAATTTATCTTCGAGTGTGATTTCCTGGCCTACTGCTTTGTTTATAAACGCTTAATAAATTACAAAGCCACCATTTAAGATGAATAATACTATATAAGCTAATTAGTATAGAGTAGTGTTAATACTAAATAAACTAATTAGTATATAGTAATGTTAGGATATTAAAATTTTTATCAAATAAATTATTAAATGTCTCATATGTGTATAAGGTCTGCTATTTTGTGGATCTCATTATTTAGTCATTTGTTTGGTAGAAAATTTGGAACCTATAATATTTTTCATTAGTATATTAACTAGTATATCAATTGATAATGTGACATAATTTAAAATATTTTTAGTATTTATAATTTGTATAATGAGTGGTGCTAATAATAATGTAACACTACCGTTTAAGATTTATTTAATGTATAAATTATTCCTATAATTTTAATTAATAATTTAAATAATTTTATTAAATAAAAAAAAAAAAAAAAAACATGACAACAAGTATTTATAATTTTTAAAACTACATAAAATTATATGTATTTATTAGCCTTTTATTAATAAAGTGGAAATGCTTTTCATCGCCGCGGATCTGAAGGAATCCAACGGCCTTTATTTCACAGATAACTTTGGTGTTAGATTCAGAGGCCCCACCCACCAACGGGATCAGACCCGTGAAGCGAAATACTGCTGATATAGTTTGGTGGGTTGTATTAGGCCCGTTTTAATCGAAAGGAGTACATGATTGAATTTCAGTCTCAAAGTTTGGGCCAAGCCCATCGGTTTTCATATAACTTCATATGAACATGGCTCGGGCCAGGCCCAATGGTTTTTAAGGACTAGGCTCCTCTCGACTGGAGGGCTGTTTAGATCCGTGAGGCCATTACAGATTTATTTTTTTATGATTCAAATATTTTATTTTGTAAAATCTTTTGTATATATATTATTCATAAAAAAAAATTAGATCGATCTAAGAATCGTAGCATACTCAATTTATTACATTATTTTTAAAAAAATAGTTTGTTTATTTTAAAAAATATTGTCTATTTTTTTAAAAAAAATACGATAAATTAAATATATTACGATTATCAAATAGATTTAATTTTTTATAAATAATACACGCGAAAGATTTTACATCATTAAAATATAACACATATTGGGCCTCGCAAAATCGGACTGGACAAAATCGGACAGGACCATCCAGTTGAGATGCTTGAGTGGAGGGGATCCCAATCCTAAAAATTAAAGGCATATATATATATGTGTGTTAAAGACAGGAATCACTTCCTCCAAAAAAATTGAAGTTTACAATTTAAAGAAAATGAAAAAAAATTCCCTTCCATAAATCTAAAATTTAAACACAAATTTGACAATTTATTCAACTTTTTAAATTACGAGCATACATTTTTAGCAAGTAATAATTTTCATTTCTTGTTTAAATTACAAATTAATGTGTCATTTACTATTAAAAAATATATCTAAAAGTATATAATCAGTTAGTAGTCACAAACATATATATACTAGCGGTATACCGCACCATGGCATAAAATATATATTTATTAAGAATAAATATTTTCTAGGAATGCCTTTTGGAAGCTGAAATATAGTTATAAATTAAAAAAATGCTAGAAAATCATATCTATGTGAATATTTGGTACAAAATTTGATAATTTTTTTGAGATATCTATTATTACTCTTTTAAATTTTAAACTTCAAAATTACTTATCCTAAGGTGGTGTTTGATAATCTAATTTAATACTTAAAATTGAATATATTAAGTGATAATCAATTAAATTTATTTAATAATTACAATTGATATCTCTTAAAAACTTTAGTGCCTCTTAAATGTAACTTAAAAGTTAATAAAATTTTAGGTGACATGAAACTTAATTATAATTGAATTTATAAATACTAAACATAAAATATCAATATACTCAAATAAAAAAAAATGTATATATTGACATATACTATTATAAACTTATTATCATTGCCATTACTACTATCACCAACTTCATTACCAATGTTATTGTTCCCATAAGTACCACAATCATTTCACTACCACTACTATATCATCACTATAGAATAGTTGTCATTACTACAACCATTACAATAACCATTACAACTTTTCACTTGCACAACTATTATCACTGTTGTCACAACCACCACCATCATTCCACCATCATTGCTACCTTTTCTTTTTTTTTTTGTAATTTTATATTTCTACAACATTATGCTTCTACCATCACCACAATCATCATCCATTAATCTCTACCATTGTTAACATTGGCGGCATATCTAAAGCTCTTGTTGCCTCCTCCATCACTGCTAACTACAATCACAAAATAAAAATTGTAAAATATACAATTTAAATAAAAAAAATTTAAATTTAATCTTATACACGACAAACAATTTGTTTTAGTTCAACACTTATTTTCTTATTGAACAACTTTTCAATTTAAAAAATTCATCATTAAATTTTCAGTACTTAATTTTTCAATTTTCAATTTTCAATTTTATCAAATACTAGCTAAGTCATAATAAATTTATTAAAAATTTTAAGAGGGGAATAAATTTATAGTTTTTTTTTTTTTTAGATTGGAAAGTTACTTGAAATGGAATTTCGGGGCATTCGAGCCCCGAAATCTCGGGCCCTCAAGCAGCGCCGGATTTTTAAATTGCATACAATAATCAATTACAATTAGTCAATACTTATCATTAAAAACTCTCATCTAGATTTGATATTTTATTGGATCAAACTGTTTGAACCAGACAAACAACACACTCCCGGTGTACGGAGATATCAATACGTATTTTATTAATATTATTTTAATTTTTACCTTATAAATTTTTTATTTTTTTTCCATTTTGAAAAGCACTGCAATTTAATAAAATTTTAAAAATATTATTATGTCGATGAAAGAATCAAAAAAATAAATGTAAAATGTATATAAAAAAAATTGTATGATAAATTTTTGAAAACTAACATGGGTAAGTATATGCATTGCATGTGTTGACATAATGTTTGTCATTATAGTAAACAAATAAAATTTGTTGAAATCTATTTTATATATCAATGTTATAAAAGGAGAATAATTATTGAATTTGATATATATTACTATAATAATGAAAGATTCAATAACTATAATTAAAATGAAAGGGCCAATGATTTCATGACACATGTAATTTTATATTTGTTTAATTAAAAAATCTAAAAAATTAGGTTTAGAATTTTGAGTTCATAGACCTAAGAACATTCACTGTGTTTGGTTTGAGTTTTTTAGATTAAGTTTTTTGAAAATTGAGTTTTTTGATTTTCTTATTTTTTTGTTTTTAGTGAATATTTTTAAAATTTTAAACATTTTTTTTACTTTTTTAGATGCACCTTACTTAGATGTATCTAAAAAGTAAAAAATTTGTGAAAAAATATTTTAAAAAATTAATAAATACATAAAAATACAAAATATGTACGGAATTTTCGTATTTTTTGATATTTTTGGTATTTAGTGAATTTTTAAAAGGTTTCTTTCACAATTTTTTTACTTTTTAAGTATATTTATGTTAGATATGTCTAAAAAGTAAAAAAAAATGCTTAAAATATTAAAAAAATCAGTAAAAATAAAAAAAATACAAAAAATAAGAAAGTAGAATTTTCTAAAAAGAATTTTTAGAAAACTCTAACCAAGCATGCTGATTACTTTCATTATATAATATACATTTTGCCTAATATGGCGCCAACTATAGGATATTAGGGAATATTTAGAATTATTTAAATAAGTGTATTTTTTGTTTTTTACAAAAATATATATAAAAAAATAAAAAGGTGATATAATTTAAAAAGAATAAAAAGATAAAAAGTGTATTTATATAATCTATTTCTTACATTACTTTATTATTGTCAAATCCGTATCAATATGTCAACTTTAATTTTAACCAATTATAATTACTTGTATAAAAAATAGTAAGATTTAAAATTTCAGTATGAGATACACATTCTCAAAACGAAGAAATAAGCGAAATATCGAGTCCATGTTTTTTTATTATTTTTTTTCATTGAGTTGAGTGGATCATAATTATTAAGATCAAATTTAAGTCAATGTTATGAGCGACCAAATAGTTTTCAATGGAATCCGGTTCTTCTGTCGTCCTTTCCTGCAGCCAAACCTTGTTGTCCTCCAAAACGACGTTGTTTTGGAGGTTTTTTTTTTTTTTTTCTTCTTCTTCTTCTCTCTGTCACTGATAACTCTCTCTCTCTCTCTCCTCATTACAATCATCGACCCAAAAAAAAAAATGCAGCAGATTTGTTTGCCTTGAGGCTCTGTTCTGTAAATTTGATTATAAAAAAAACGCAGCAGATTTGTAATTTGCAGAACAAATTTACAATTATCGACCCAACTTCAAGCAAACCCTCAATTTCATTCAGAGTTCTGCAAATTTGTTTTTTATTTTTTGAAACAAACAAAGTGGGTTTGCTTGAAGTTGTTGTCAAGCCTTTGATTCAGAGTTCTTCAGCTTCCATGGCTCTTCTTCCCCCCTTTTGTTTTTTTTTTTTTTGGTTCAGATTTGAAATCTGTTTTTTTTTACAGATTTACTCACAGATCTGTATTGAAAATACCAGGAAAAAAAAGAAAGAAAAAAACGAAGGAGAGGGAGAGAATAATCATCATCTGTGACTTCGAGGGTTCTACAGGTATTACTTCAGAAGTTTAAAAACAAAGAAAGAAAGAAAAGATTTGATTATTGAATTAGGTTGGGTTGTTTTTTACCAGAACCTTTTTCATTTTTTGACGGTTTGATATTCCAACCCACAATCCTTTGAAATTCTTACTACTACCCATTTTTAATTGTAGTTAATTTTGATTGTTGGTTTTGATACTTCCTTCACTCCCATAAATTAACACACACATTTCTTCTTCTTATTCTTTTTTTTTTCTTTAAATTCTGATCATTGATGATGTATTATCTTTTTCTGTTAACTTGTTTTAGTTTTGGATCTTGGGTTTCACTCAATTTTTTTCTTTGTTAAAGGTATTGTCAGTTACTTACTGGGTTTTATGTTGTTTTGGGGTTTCCAGAGTGAGCTTCTCATGTCATGTTCTTGAGGTTTCTTACTGGTTTTTGGATTTATGTTTATGTTTATGTGCTTAGTGAGAAATGTTGAGGGGAATAATCAATGAAGTGTTTTGAGGGAGAGAGAGAGAGAGTTATCAGTGAGAAGAAGAAGTTTTTGGTTCAGATGTTCCCCTCTCTCTTCTTCATCACAGTGAGGAGAAGAAGAAGAAAAGAAAAAAAAAAAAAATCCTCCAAAACAACGTCGTTTTGGAGGGCGACATGGTTTGGCCGCAGGAAAGGGCGACGGAGGATCCGGATTCGTTTTGAATGGGCAGTTTACAAGAGTTTGGTGGATGACATGGACATGACAGCATATCAATTATTTTTTCCCTTCCTAATAAAAGACAAATATATCTATATATATATATATATATATGGACACATTAGTTTGTAAGATGGGCTAATTTGAGCCCACTAAATTATTTAGGCCCAATAGCCCAAGATTAGTGGGCCCGAATTTATCGCAAGTCCAAGAATCGGTGGGCCCAGATTTATCGCCATCAAACGGATTGAATCGCTCTAAGCCTCGAAAGGGTTCGGATCCACGAACCTAGAGGTCCGAAATACTTGGCTTCGAACAGATTCAGACGCAATCTAGAAGTCGCTCCGTTAATGAATCCCAGAACACTTGCGGGCTCGGAGCTTTCCGGGATCTACGCACCAGAACCATGGGCGTAATGGAGTTCGAACAAAGGACCCGATCCCGAGGACGGTGAGTGGAGATAAATTCACTCTTCGGTTAAACTAGCCTATACCCGGGTCGAGGTGGCACGACCCCGGGGGGTCCATGAGACTCGGCAATATTTTGCGGCAGGACGTCCTCTGGGACTACCCCTGACCCTTTGGGATGATTGGGGATCATTGGTTAGGTGTGGCTAAGAAGAAGGGTTCGCCGAGGGATTGATCTCCTCTTCGGGGTTTTCTCATCCTCGGAGAAGTCACCTCCTCGGAGAGGTCACCTCCTCGGAGAAGTCACCTCCTCGGAGAGGTCACCTCCTCGGAGAAGTCACCTCCTCGGAGAGGTCACCTCCTCGGAGAAGTCACCTCCTCGGAGAGGTCACCTCCTCGGAGAAGTCACCTCCTCGGAGAGGTCACCTCCTCGGAGAAGTCACCTCCTCGGAGAGGTCACCTCCTCGGAGAAGTCACCTCCTCGGAGAGGTCACCTCCTCGGAGAAGTCACCTCCTCGGAGAGGTCACCTCCTCGGAGAAGTCACCTCCTCGGAGAGGTCACCTCCTCGGAGAAGTCACCTCCTCGGAGAGGTCACCTCCTCGGAGAAGTCACCTCCTCGGAGAGGTCACCTCCTCGGAGAAGTCACCTCCTCGGAGAGGTCACCTCCTCGGAGAAGTCACCTCCTCGGAGAGGTCACCTCCTCGGAGAAGTCACCTCCTCGGAGAGGTCACCTCCTCGGAGAAGTCACCTCCTCGGAGAGGTCACCTCCTCGGAGAAGTCACCTCCTCGGAGAGGTCACCTCCTCGGAGAAGTCACCTCCTCGGAGAGGTCACCTCCTCGGAGAAGTCACCTCCTCGGAGAGGTCACCTCCTCGGAGAAGTCACCTCCTCGGAGAGGTCACCTCCTCGGAGAAGTCACCTCCTCGGAGAGGTCACCTCCTCGGAGAAGTCACCTCCTCGGAGAGGTCACCTCCTCGGAGAAGTCACCTCCTCGGAGAGGTCACCTCCTCGGAGAAGTCACCTCCTCGGAGAGGTCACCTCCTCGGAGAAGTCACCTCCTCGGAGAGGTCACCTCCTCGGAGAAGTCACCTCCTCGGAGAGGTCACCTCCTCGGAGAAGTCACCTCCTCGGAGAGGTCACCTCCTCGGAGAAGTCACCTCCTCGGAGAGGTCACCTCCTCGGAGAAGTCACCTCCTCGGAGAGGTCACCTCCTCGGAGAAGTCACCTCCTCGGAGAGGTCACCTCCTCGGACAAGGTGGTTAGAGAAAATATCCCCCATGTGCCTTGCACATGGCT